TGTAAGTGATAATCCACCTTAACCAAAATCAAAGTAGACTATCACTCACCCACACCAGATGGAAAACTCTACAGACTGCCGGTTCACACCCCATCACAAGCCAGCAAAACATCCACGAAACAAAGAAAGGTTTGTCACAGCCAAACGCCGCTGGCACTAGAGGCACAGCATGGCCGCGTAGTGACGACCCCGACCACGGTCGCTCGACCTGACCGGAGAAAACCGTAGCAAGAAGCTAGCGAAGTCGTAGTGTATATATATATATATATGCAAGGAAATGAGCAATAGCGAACCCCAACAATCAAACAGCATCATACATATGAGTCCAGATAGTCGTGACCTCGAACCAACAACAGAATTGCATCACGAGATTCACCAAATAAGAACACACCAAGAGTTCATAATTGACAATGCTGAAATAGTCCAATCATCATCAACGAAGAACCAGAGTTGATATCCTATCTGGCGCTCGGCGCCCAGACTACATGTGGCAGATCCTATCTAGCCTATGCTACGATGCCGAAAGATGACGTCAACAACTTTCCTGAAGTACGAGCATACAGCGACCTATGTCGCATGCTTCCAGCACTAGGTATGTCTCTCGCCACACTCACAACCTCGTTCCCCAACTCACAGATGCCACTAGCACCCAAGGACCACCCTGCACTTCACCCAGCTTACAGCAGCGCAGCTCGGCTATGGCTGCGTGCTCCTTCGCTGCTCGCCCGTGAGAGCGTAGGTGCCAGCCAGCAAATAGCGCAGCAGCGCTTGCGCAACATGCAGCCAGCACCTGGATGCCGAATGAGGAGGCAGGCCCTTTGCTATATCGAAGTGGCCTACCTGCGTCCAGTCTCGGGAAGCTTCCAGTAGGCCTCAGTAGCCTGAGGTCCAGCACGATCGAGAACAGGCCTGGGGCCTGCGGTAGTTGCATGTGCCCAACTGCCTTTGGCATGTGTGTGGCCCAGTACCCGTATCCAGCCCAGGGCCTGCTTATCATTCATTCACACAGGCGGCCCAGGGCCTGGGTTTCCTCAACCAACTGGCGCTGCGCAACTGCCTGAATTTCCTTTGTTGCGCAGAGGCCGAAATAAGGCCCTGAAGGCCTCGTCGAGCCTGCCTTCACTTAGGGCGGCCGACGGGCTGTAGCAGAGTGGCCGAAAGGGGCTCATAGGGGCAGTGGCCTCACATTCCGTCCTCCTTAGCTTCAACAGTCCTCTAAGAAGCTGATTCTTCGATCATCGGGCGCTTTCCTTTCTGCAGAGATTTCTCATAATGAGCTACAACTTGAGGAGCGGTCTGCATGAGTTCTTCCCTCGTGAACCAGCGGTCCTCCTTGGGATTAGTATGATGTCGGAACCGAACGCAGTACTGCAGCTTCGGTTTTGGAGGACGTCCCCTGCCTGTGGGTCTCTGAACTAGCAGCTCCCTGTGATCCACGATGTCATCAATGTCCACTTCTCCATCCATGGTTGGGGGCAGCATTGAACGACGAGAAGGAAACTCATCTGTTTCCTTGAAAGGTGCAAGCTTGGAGGCGTGAAAGACAGGGTAAGTTCGGAGATGACCAGGGATCCGGATAACATAAGATGGCCCATCCGGATCTGTCCCAACGATGTCCAAGACTTCCCAGGGTCAAAAGTACTGGGGCATGAGTTTGCGGGAAATCCCGTGCTCTTGTCTCAATTCTAAAGACTTAACCTAGACTCTGTCCCCAACCTGAAACGTAGAAGGACGGCGGTGTCTATTTTCGGACTCTATCATTGCCGCCTGTGCCTTCTGCATCTGTTCTATAGCCTGCTGCATCTTCTGTTCATACCGATAAGCAAATTCTAAGGTACCTGGTGCAGCAAAGGTCTGATTCTCAGGAAGAGGAAAGTTAGTAAGCTGTTTGGGCTCACCCCGGTGGCACTGTGTACAACGTTATTCTACAAGCTGGAGATGAGAGCAAGCTTCTCATCCCAGTCCACCTGGTTGGCCTTGATGTAATGCCTCAACAAGTATTGTACTGCGCGGTTCAGTTGCTCGGCCTGACCGTTGGCCTCTGGGTGATTCCCAGAAGTCATCTGCAACTGAGTTCCCTGCTCTGCAGCAGCGGCCTTCCACAACTCACTGGTAAACCGGACATCCCTGTCACTAATAATAGACTTCGGTAAACCAAAGTCCCTGACACAGTTCTCCTTGAGCATTCTGATCACATACTCCGTTCTTGATGTTTTCGACATTGCCACTAACCTAGCATACTTGCTAAACCTATCCACGATGACAAAGATGTGTCTCATCCCACTCTTGCTGGTGACCAGAGTGTCCATGAAGTCCATGGGCAGACTCTCACTTGGCCGTTCCGGAATCAGAAGGGGCTTCAGGAGCCCAAGAGGAGCCTGAGTACGGGGCTTGCCTCTTTGACATACCTGACAAGTCTCCACGTACAGCTGGGCATCTCGCAACATCGTGGGCCACCAGAACCGCTGCAGCAGATTAGCTGCGGTCTTCTTGTACCCAAAATGGCTGGTGGCATCGTGACACTCACCTAAAAATAAACTACGCAAAGACTCGCTATTGGGGACACACAATCGTTTATTCCCTGCCTTCTCAAGGAACAGCAAGCCATTGACCAATTCAAACTCGGCAGAGGTCTTCTTATCTTTCGCCGGGAGTCTGCGTATGATCTCAGACATAAAGTGGTCCTCGCGATAGGCTTCCACCAAAGACTGAGTAACAGTGTCCTCAAGCCCAAATTCAGTGATCAGCGCACCCGAGAAGTCTGGTCTGCGCGACAGGGCATCAGCAACCTTGTTGTACTTGCCCTTGATGTACTGGGGCTCGAAGTCATGCTGCTCAATGACTCGATCCAACGCTTGAGAGCATCAGAGAGTATAGGCTGTGTTCTCATCCATCTCAGGGTCTGATGATCAGTCCTGAGGATGAAGAACCTCCCAAAAAGGTCATGCCTCCAATGGGTCAGAGCCTTGTACACCGCATAGAGTTGCTTCTCATAGGCGAACTTAGCCAACTTCTGAGAGGGCATCGTTTTGGACATGTACTCTAGTGGCCTCAACTTTTTCCCCTCCTGTTGTGCAAGTACGACGCCTATGCCATATTGGCTAGCATCCGTAGTTACTATAAATGGCTTATCAGGATCAGGAAGTTTCAAGACTTTGTAATGCGTCAACGCATGCTTCAGATGTCTGAAAGCAGCCTCGCATCTCTCAGTCCACTCCCATGGGGTNACCGCATAGAGTTCCTTCTCATAGGCGGACTTAGCCAACTTCTGAGAGGGCATCTTTTTGGACATGTACTCTACTGGCCTCAACTTTTTCCCCTCCTGTTGTGCAAGTACGACGCCTATGCCATATTGGCTAGCATCCGTAGTTACTATAAATGGCTTATCAGGATCAGGAAGTTTCAAGACTTTGTAATGCGTCAACGCATGCTTCAGATGTCTGAAAGCAGCCTCGCATCTCTCAGTCCACTCCCATGGGGTGTCAAGGCGGGTCAGATGAGTCAAAGGGGCGGCAACTATCCTATAGTTCTCCACGAAGTTGCGATAGTAGCCGGTCATCCCTAAGAATGATCTCATCTCAGTCACAGACTGAGGACGTGGCCAATCACGAATGCTGGCCACCTTTGCGTCATCGGGCTTCAACCCTTTCGCGGATATCTCATGACCCCAAGTACAAGACACGGGTGCGGCCAAATTGCACTTCTCACCGTTGATCTTGAACTTGTGCTGTCGCAGGAGATTGAGGACTTTGTCCAAATGTGCCACGTGCTCCTCGACAGTCTTACTAAAAATAAGTATGTCATCGAGGTACACGATGACAAACTTATCTAAGTAGTCTTGGAATATCCGATTCATAGCGTTGTGCGGGTAGGGGCTCCTACTGTTCACTGAAGCCAAGGGCCACGGCGCCTGTCACTCGCCGCGCCCGCTTCCGAGGTCCTAAGTGACCAGCAAGTTGTTGCAGAAGCGACGGGTATGATTGACCCCGCTGATAAACCAATCCTATTAGTGTTGTCTCGGTCCAGGAGTTTAAGGAAATAAATTACCTGAATTTAAATGCCTGTCAAAATTTGTAGATATAATCCAAGAACTCGAACTAACTTATAGCGCATCAGTTAGCACAGATAATCCAAACCAGAAACACTGCAAAAAATTAAATTGTTTTCTCATGCATCCCAGGGTTGGTAACAGATCACGGTTGAGGAGTTCTTTCACGTAATTTCAAAGTGGGAATTGATATGCAGCGGATTTGTCGTTTTTCAAGCTCAAAAGCAGAAAACAAAGAACTGCAGAATTATGCCCTTACGAAACCCCAAGGACTGAGACCAGAACGCCGTGGGGCAGACTCTGCACTCAATTCAAAGACGGGCACTCATTTCAGCGATGCCCTCCTCTCTCTTTCCTCTCTCTCTACCCAGCATCCCTTTCTTTCCTTGTCTTCGTCGTTCTCCCTCTCTCTCCCCCTGCTCTCTCGCTCACAACTCTTTCTCTCGCTGGTCCACTCTCTTTCTCTCTTTCGGTCTGCCTCACTGCTCCTCACATCCTTCCCCCCAAGCCCAAATCGCTCTCCCTTTCCTCTTTCCTCTCAATTCGCTCGTTCTACAGAGCCCTTCAATCAGCCCTCCTTAATACTTCCCGCATACACTCAGACACGTTTCAGTCCGACGACTTTTCCAATATAATCAAAGGGAACGGTGAAAATCGAATCAGTAATAAATCGATGTTGATTCTGGAGTAGCTTTGCCTTCGATAACTGTGAATACCCGTCTGCATAGAGGCTCAAATTCCAGTCCCCGCCAGACAACTGCCCGCAATTGGGGTTCAGATAAGGAAAAATAATGATTGCGATAATAACAATAATAATAGTAGTATATCAGAACGCTCTGACCCTCTCACACAAGCCCTGCGAGTCACGGTCTTGAGCCCGGTTGGAGTTTCCTAACTTTTGCTTTAGTCCAAGTTACTCTCTTTCCTCTTTCCCGATTGGGTTGATGGAGCAGTTCCCGGTAGCGATGGATTCGCTGGACAGATCATCACTCGATTTTGACCTCACTCAGATACGACCTGTCCCCGCTGTCAACGAGATCTACAGGTCGGAACTTGGTCGACTGATTACTCGAAAGATTTGTTCCTCCTGGCAGCGAGAACGCCAGATTGCCTGGCAGTCGATTGCAGCCTTACTTCGAAAAGAGCAATTCCCGCTGACAGCGAGATCAACTGACTGACCACTTGAAAATAATAGTTCCCGCCGACAGCGATTTCACCCGGTTGACTGTCTGAGGATTGAAATGTCACTTTGAAGGGATCTGTTCTCACTGACAGCGAGGTCAACAAATTGGGACTTGACTGACTGACCGCTCGAAAAGAATATTCGTCGCTGACTGTGAGATCATCCGATTGACTGTGAGAGGATTGCAACGCCACTTTGCAGAGATCTGTTTTCACTGACAGCGAGATCAACAGTTTGGAACTTGACTGACTGACCACTTGAAAATAAAACGAAGTTCCCGTCCTCCGAGGTCCGCCACTCAATGGCCAGATCAGCTGAAAGGAGCAACTCCCGTTAGTGGCGGGATCACGGGGCAAGTTCCCACGACGGTGGCAAGAGATGCTCTCGCTAACAACGGGATGTCTATCCCAGTAGATCTCTGAAGTGTCCCGCCCGTGTTAGCAAGAGGGGGCTTTCTAGAAGATACGTGACCACCAAGAACCGCGCGCGTCACTCACTTTCGTCATCAGAGTATACCTAGCGCCCGATCTACTCGAAAGACTCCGCCCTCGCTACCAGTAGACAACACACCATCTCTCCTCCTGACTACTCCCAAGGCGCGCATGTCACGTATTGATTTCATTGCCCTACCATCGCCCGTCACAAATTCCCTGGTTTAGGTTTCTGCGTTTGCTACTTCACGCAGACTCTGAGTTAACCCGGCACGCGTGTTCATCCACACGGTCTGTATCACCACCTTGACTTCCCTACAACATAGACGTTAGACTGATTATGTCCTTGCTCGCCGTGCACATCCATCGCACTCCGATCGACGCGTCCCCAAATAGTCTTCAGGGCGCCAAGTACGTTTTTCTGCGATCAGCCATGCGCCAGGCAGCCTCCGGGAGTGTAGTCGATTGCTGGGCACGCCTAGCTCGCTGAACGAGGTCCCTTCCTTAATCCGCCACCAAACAGGTCTTTCCGCGTGTTTGCGAGAGCGAGCGAGAATCGGCTGGGTACGCCTGGCTCACAGAACGAGCTCCCTTCCCTAGTGAGCCAGTTCCAGCCACCCCCGCGCGTGTCAGTTCCTCCAAGTCAACAAGTGGGGATGTGTACACCTTGCGCCCCGATCCATCATACTCCCCGAATCTCCCCTCCGCTGCTGTTTTCCGGGTGAGACGAAACGTGCTGCATTGTGGGCGGCGTACACCAGGCACATTCCCCCTCGTGCCTACCCCGCATCCCCCTTCTCTTCTTTAACCATCCGTCTGTCTCGACTTTATTCCAACGGCACCAAAGGCCGAAGGTCACACCAACAGAAACTTCTGCAGAGACGGTGGCCCCAAGGAAGTGCCAGCGTACCAGGGCCGGTACCAGGGCTGTAGAACCCTCGTAAATGCAACAGTCCCGACCGCCGAACCACCAGTGTCACCAGAACAGATTCGGTACCAGAAATTCATACAACAGGCCCCACTGCTCCATCATGAATCCGTATCACTGTGCCGCACCATTGGATAAATCCCTGTGGACTGACAAGTGACGTCGTGCCTGTACTGAACCCCAACCTGAAATAATTATCCAGGGTCATCGTAACTTGTACCATGCCAATGCTGGACCAATACCGAACCGAAAATATGTCGAGCACTGTAGAATGCAGCAATCCCGTAGTAGTACCGAATCTGTAAGATGTCGAACCAGTCCATGATGAATACCGTAGAACGTAGCCATACTGAGGGTAACACCGAATCTATCCCAAACCAGATTATCGGCCCCGAACCGAACCAGCTGCCGCACAAAGTACAATAAAGCCACACGGCCCATCTCAAGATACTATCAGCAGCAAGACCGCGCTGACCATCCGTCCCCGCACTCCCTCATAGCATACAGGTCGCGGCGATACTTAGCAATCAGGTAAGTCAAGTAAGTCGAGCAGGTAATCTCAATTACCGGGATATGGGGAAAATCGTTAAAATTAGGGAAAATAAACAATCCGGGATTAAAACCCATCGCGAATAAGTCAAATAAAGTTTAATCAAATATTAGATAATCATCCGTTCTCTTCCCTTTTATCCTTTTTAATTATTTTCCTTATTCCTTAATCCTATTATCAAAAATAATGAAAATAAAAGAATTTTCCCAAAAATGGATCCCGGCAGAATTCAATTAAATATCAAAAATTCCTTGTTTTCTTTTCCTTTTTTTTGGTTTTTTCCTCTTTTTCCTATTTTTAATTCTATCACCGAAAACTCTAAATATTGAGGGCGGTTCCATTAAAAATTAAGTATCAAGGAAACTTTATAAATTAAAGAGTATCCGTTTTTCTCTTCTCTTCTTTTGTTTTTAGTTCTTTTCATTTTTAAATTTTAATATTAAAATTAATGAAATGTGAGGCTCCATTCTCGCGTCAGTTGGACAGCGAAAAAGGGCCTCGCCAATCCTATTCTCAAATTATCGTCCCTCAGCCAGTCGTTTCGGGAACAGGCTTGGAGCGGGCGGAAAAGAGGTAGACAATAAGGTTGTCGTCAGGGTGGCGGAAGAGGTAGTCTCTCTCGCCGATTTGAGTGCTAGTCTTGATAGTCGGCGCACCGAAAATTAGGGATGGTCTGGTTACCCCTAATTTCCCCCAACCGGTCGGACAAAAGTCCCAGCCGATTCTTTCTCATATAACTTTTCTAAGGGTCAATCTTCCGGTATTAGGGCGACCGACTGGCCTTCGGTACCCGACAGCGTGCCGAAAGGTCCCAGGAGCATTGCAAAGGCCAAAAGGCATCACCACAAACTCGTACAGACTGTACCTAGTCTGGAAAGCGGTTTTGTGCTGATCCTCGGACCGGATTGCAATCCGATGGTACCCGGACTTCAGATCTATCTTACTGAAGTACCGACACCCTTGCACTCTATCTAACAAATCATCGATGCGCAGTAGGGGCTCTCTATTCTTTACAGTGATGGCATTGAGGCCCCTATAGTCAATGCACATCCTAAGTGTACCCTCCTTCTTAGGTACGAATCCAACCCTTCTCTACGAGTTCCTTGAGTTGCCAGTGAAGCTCATCGAGCTCGCCTCAAGACATCCGATAGACCCTACCCTTTGGGATACTAGACCTTGGGATAATCTCTATCGCGTGGATGACCTCCCTCTCGACAACCCTGTTGGCTCTTCAAATAGAGCAGGGTACTTGGCAACTACTCCCTCTATCTCCTGCGGCATTTTCACCGGCTCGCCTGCAGCAGAGACATAAACTAAGTACATACCCTCCTCCTGATTTTGCTTATAATAGTTATAGAACGCGGCCGCACACATGCATCCATGAGACTCGATCAGACTACTAGCTTTGAACTTGTGCAATCTGGCGGTCCCTCCACCTGGCAAAGTGTGTTTGGCCACTTTTCGGTCCCAGTCAAACTGGGGCTGTGCCACAGAGAGGTAGTACATACCTAACAACATGCCCATGGGGAGTTCATCGCTCATTAGGAACGAGACACGATGTCTCAAGTCCCCTCCCGCGTACGGGAAACAACACTCAACGTCCTGGAGGTAGTCATTGACTACCATGCGCTGTATGTTGGCACAGGTCGACTCCACAGGTCGACTAAGGCGTTGCGCTCGCCCCTGTAAACTCGGCCTTTCAACGCACGCGCGACTAATAAAGCTCCAACAAGTGTCATAATAGGCCCCGGCCTTGCGGCCGCCAATGAAAACCTTGCTGACGAACATCTCACCCTTAGGGGCTTTGACTAGGGCCGTCCAAGAAGCTAGCGGGTCTGATCTAGACCACTCCACCTCTAGCTCCTCTAAGGACTCGAACACATTCATCGAACAGAGGCTCGACGAGTCTGAATGTGTTTGCGGGACGACACTGGAGTCAGTAGCTTGGGCCATCTCTCGAGATGGTGAGGGTGTTTCCACCACCTCGACCCTAGCAGGAACAACTACTATTCCTACTGGCTCGACGTGTTTCCCGGAGCACTGCCAGAAGTACTGGCAACATTGCTACCAACGGGGTGAGAGGATCCCAACACCTGCCCCATCGTAGGCGGGATCTTGTCGGTTACCTTTTTATTGCGGCACTTCCTTCTTATTGCGGCACTTCTACTGACTATGGTCGTATTAACCAACAACGAATACAAGCCTGCCGTGAGTACCGGTCTCTCCACACGTCCTCAGTGAGACCCGCTTTCTCCCATGGAGGAGCGTTGGGGTCAACTTGACTCCTTGACCGGGAGCCTCGCAGGCGTCTACCGGTCGCCTTACCTTTCTGAGCAACGACAGCGACTACTCCACCCTCTGAAGCTTCTGCGCTGCCTGCCTCTGAACCTACTCCTTCCTGGAAGTGTTCATCTAACTCGATGGTTGAACCATCGTTGTCGACAAACATAATGCGGCCCTTCGCCTTCCAGTTAGGAGGCAGCGTCTTCTTCCTCCCATCCGTAGTGGGTGCCTGTCCATGCCCTATCTTAGCGTCAAGGTCTAGGGCCATCTTGCTGAACGAAGGGAAGTTGTGCATATTGATGTTGGCCTGACTTGCCAACTGGTTCCTGAGAGGCTGAGAAAAGCATCTCAAGTACGAGGTAAGCAGATTATGGGGGTCATAGCGCACTCCAGGGACACAGATCAGACGCTCCACAGCGTCGGTGGCTTCCCTAACTGACTTAAACTGCCTTGTGTGTAGTGTCAGGATCGCGTCAGTGGCCCTTTGGGCCTCCTGAGGATCGTGCCACCTTTCCTCCACCATCTTCAGGAAGTCCAACTTCTGGGTGACCGCCCAAGCGCGGAAGTCATGACCATACCTCTGGAGCTGCACTAAACCACCCAACGATCTTGCTGCACTACCTTCTAGGTAGGAAGCAGCCACAAGCACTGCTTCGTGCGGCAAGGTAAGCTTACACCTGACATAGACTGGCACTGATCTCAACCATGTGTCGAGGTCTTCGCCTCTCTTGTCCGCTAACCATCTCTTGTCGAGTTTCCTAGACCACTGCTTCTCCATGGACGAGTCATACAATAATACAATATCCCCAACTGCCAAGGGTGCCTTTCGCACGCGTGCCAACTGGTCCCAACGAGCCATGTCATCCATACGACCTTTCCACTTGATTGGACGCCTCCTGAATCCTTTCTTCAATTGCCCCCACCTGTCATGACCGTATATCGAGCAGCTCCTCAAACGACAAATTGGTTTTTAGGGCCTGGCGTCTCCAGGTTTTTTAGGAAGCTCTCAATTGGGAAGGTAGCGTGCCGCCCATACCATAGCGTGGCTGGTGCGTAGTTGGTGGTTCTTTTCACCATAATATTCTCAACAAAAAATGTCGCTCATTAGTATCTTGGCCACTGATTAGGCCTACCTTCAGTCCACTTAGCTAGGAGGTTCGTGATGGTACTATGTCCTCTCTCGACTGGAGGATTTGCTTGAGGGTGTGCTGTTGTGGTATAATTAGCTACCATGTCGTATCCTGACAACAACTCCTGCACCTCTGAACAGGTAAACTCTGACCCTTTGTCCATCACGAACTTCTTGACGAAGGGATAGCGTAGGTAGTATTCTTCAATGCAGCTCACCAAAACCGAGTCGGTCTTTGTACGAATGGCACGACTATCTACAAAGCCAGTAAGGTTATCCCGTGCATCAAAGATGTAATTGTAGCCATGATCTCCAATCGGCATGAAAAGCAGGTCGAGATGTACTACGACACCTACTTCCCTTTCTAGCCTTGGATGCAGTGGCTCTCCTGGCCTATGAGGCGACCTTTCTTGGCACGGTACACAAGATGGACAAAACTTGATGACCATCTCCATCATTCCATCCCAATAATATAGCTCGCTTATATCTTGGCATATGTGGCATTGATTCCTTGATGCCCTCCTGCAATGCCATTATGAAGCGCTACTATAATGTCAACCTGGTGATTCCATCCGCACATAACTCACTTGGGATTCCCCACTCGTCTCTTTACAAAGAGATGGCCATCTCTCACCAGGTAGAGATGCTTCATTTTTTGTGCCTTCTCACTCGCATCCCGATCCCTTATCTCACATGATAGAAGAAGTCCAAGCTCAAGGTACATTCCATCATTCTCCTCTGCACGAAACACTTTTTTAATTTCTCCTTCTTCGAACTTGTCGTCCTGACTTCCTGGTACAAAGTCCTCGCCCTCAATCAAATTCAACGAGCCTTTTTGGTCAAAGTTCCCTTGCAAACGCGTATTAGTGAGGAGGTACATTCCTCCCATCAGCTCCTCGTGTCTTTCTACCTGATTAGGACGTTCTTCTATTGTCCTTACCTCATCTACCAGACTATGAGTGCCTGCCAGCGCCAATTCCATCATCCATTGAACATCCGTTGTCGGGACCGGTGGGTCCCGAATAACTTCCCATCACTTAAGAGTTTGTACATAGCCAATTTGTGCACGGCAGAGAAATCGGGAATAAGGAGGAACGGGAAGAGAAAGAGCAAACGATTAGGTTGTCGAGAGCAACAGTCCCGGGTCGGGAACCGCAGAAAAGAGCTAGCGGTGGCAGGAAAACGAGCGCAGAGGCTCGGCCGTGGAAGGGTGCAGCCTGAGGACAGACGGGGCACTGGAGTTCGATACAACAGAGGTCGAGGGGACCGCCGACGGGACTAAGTCTCGGGGACCGCCAACGGGAACAAGTGTCGGGGACCGTCGACGGGACAAAGTGTCGGGGACCGTCGACGGGACAAAGTGTCGGGGACCGCCGGCGAGACTAGGTGTTGGGGACCACCGGCGGGATAAACGTCGGCGGTTCTCGGTGGAACGAGTGCCAAGGACTAGCGTGGGACAAGTGGCGGGGACTTGTGAAGGCCCAAGGGAAAATTGAGGCATGCCGTGAGGCGCAAATAATTAAAGAAAGATGCACTGTCAAGATCAAGGATCTTGACGGCCGGAAATATTAGCACCGCTAGCACAAGTGCTAGTGGGAGCAAGCGGGAAGGCTAAAAGAAAAAGAAAAGGGCAAAGAAACGTGGATGTTGAAGCGTGGGAGCAATCCGAAAAATCTCGGATTGGTCTCCCCCAAGAAAATGGAGCCAAAAAGGGCTTCATGAGAAAAATAGGCCTCCCGGCGAAAATCGACATATGGGGGCCTACCGTTTGGGGAAGATAGAGGCAAACGGAGGCTTTCATGGGCATGGAAAGGCCACAAGTGCAGTTCGAGAAATAACGGACTGACCCTTGGGCATGGGAAGGGCAAAAACTAAGAGGAGAAGCCTAGAAAAGGGCCTTAATGGCTAGCTGACAC